ATAATCATTTTCATATTTCACATTTCCATTCCAGATTTCAACTTATAAAAATAAGACTAGTTATCCTCAGATAAACTATTAAATGTCCCTTGCTCTATAATCTAACCTTAATGCATAACTAAAATCCACTCGCAATTTCTTATTGTCGAAAGTCTATGAGCTATAATAATGCTTGTCCTACCTTCCATTGCTTTATCAAGAGCAGAGGTAGCTTCATCAAGAATAAGTATTTTAGGATTTTTAATTAACGCCCTTGCTATAGCTATTCTTTGTTTTTAGCCACCAGATAGCATTGCTCCTTACAATCCACATATTTTGTTAAATCCTTCATGCAATTGCTCGTTATCATTATTTTAACTTTCTTAAAGCAAGGAATCGCTGTTATAAAGTACTAATTAATCTTGGCAATCATCAGATTTTACGAATTTCTATTATTAATTATCAATTTTTTATGAAATTTTTTCTTAACTTAATTTCATAAGTTAGGCCATCTCAGGAAGGTTTTTTTAATATTTCTTAATTATTTCTTATCTATAATACTCGTTATCGAATGAGTTTTCATTTGATTAATTGTTATTTAAATTAGGCTATTTAACAGATCCATTATGTTCGGATATACTCATGAAATTTTCGCTTTTCTGTTCTTAATGGAGGAAATCAATTTATTCTTTAAAAGGTTTAGTAATTTTTGACAAAAAGGAAATTCCATGTATAACATCAACCCAGTTCCTCTCATTAGACTAACAAAAGATTTAAACAACTTACTTAAATCTCTCAAAATCATCTTCAATCATTTTAATTTAGTCGCAATCATCAACACTTTTTAACACATCAACTATCAAATTTCGATATCCATCATTCAATACAGTAAGAGTATCTTCGGATAATAAAGAAACCTATTCTTTTAACTTATTAGAATATCTTGATTAAAACTCTTTGGAATTTATAAGATTATTCAGTTTTTTGTTTAAAGTACTCTCATTTGAATCTTCCTGCTAATCTTATTCAATGAAATGTAAACAATTTGCAAGTTTAGCAGCCTCCTTAATTTATTTATTTGTCGCATTCCTGTTTCCATAGATAATGTTATCTTTAATGCTAATGTTGAATAATTTTGGTTCTTGCATGACATATCCTATCTATGATCTTAGAGTCTTTATATCATATAATTTTAAATCTCCTTTTCGTCAATTAAGATTTATCCTACAGATTTCTCATACATTCTTAGAATCAAACTTGCTATTGTACTTTTTCCACTTCCTGAGTGTCCTACAATTGCTACCTTCATTCCAGCCCTTATTTTGAATGATAGATTTTTCAGTACCCACTACTACCTAGAGGGATACTTAAAGTTAATGCTATTAAATTCTATTGAACCATTTTAGATAACATCATCTTAAGGATTTTATTTATTTTATTGAGTAATTTTTGAGGAACTCTCATCTTTAATGATTCCAAAAATTTTGTTCGCAGCTTGAATAGATTTGGAAAATGAGGGCACTAATGAAAGTGCTCCTCCAGCAGCAAAAGCTGCCATCATCACAGTATAAATTGCAATGTATGTTTATTCAGGATCATCATTCTGATCAAATATGAAGATAGTTGACAAGTAGAAATTTCCTGCAAAGAAGAAGAATCTTATGCATTGAAAATATCCAAACATTAGACCTGATAAATGAGATGATCTATGGCCTTTCTTCATTGGCTCCTCTAGTAAACTTGCATATTTTTACAGCAATTTTTCGATGTTTTTAGGGCCAAAGCTAATAACAGTCTTATAGTTCATTAAAATATCTGAAACTAATGCATTTGATTTGTCATAAGGATCCAGAACAGCTGAGTCTTTGCCACTCTGGCTTGAACTTTTAGTTCTATCCCATATCACCAATTACAAGATAACACCTGCAAACATTATGAATGGAGCTGTAGCGATAGATATTAAGGCCATTTTCCAATGATAGAATAATGCAATGAGTCCACCAATAACTAAAGTTAAAATAGCTTCAAGAATATTGGATATTGTTTCACCTGTCAAACCATTTAAAGCTGTTATATCCTCTGAGAATATACTAATCAAGATTCCTGGAGCTCTGTCTTTTCTATCAAACCAACTTAAATTCTTTTTGACAATAGTCGAATAAAGTTTAGTCCTGATAGCACATGAAAGATTCTCTCCTAGGTGCTTGTGTAAAGCTCTTGTAATAAAATCTAATAGTCCTGTTGCAACTGCTAAAGCTAAATATAAGCTACACCAAAGATTTCTATCCTCAATGAAAGTATCAGATTTATGTTTTATTAAGATGAAAACATTTTTCATATAAATCATTCCATTTAATGGAAAAGCAAAAGCATTTATGATGGTAACTATCATTGCAAGGAATATTAATGATCTAGGTCCATAAAACTAATTGATTTTACTGATAAAGGATTTTTAGAATTTATTACTCAATCTATCATCTACTTCTTCTATTGCTAATGGAATAGAAACTTATTCAATTAATTAGGAGGATTCAATATCTCTATCTGTGTTAAGTCGAGGAAATTTTTCTTGGTCTTCTAAAAATTAAGTGTTTTTTTCGATATTGTCAAATTATTAATTTTAATTTTTTAATATTTATATTTCATCCATTATTCCTTCAAATGTCTGATTCTTATTTAAATCTTATAGTATTTGCTCAAATTCTTCGGTTCCCTTCTGAGCTGTTTAAATTAACCTATTTTTATTAAAGTAGATCAAATTTTCAGCTGATTAGATAGTCTGTAATCTATGAGCTATAACAATTGTGGTTAGGCTATTCTCTGAATTTTGAATGTTATATAAAGCTTATTAGACATCTTTTTCACTTTTAGGATCAAGTGCACTAGTTGCTTCATCTAAAATCAGTATTTTTGGTTTCTTTATTAAAGCTCTGGCAATTGCAATTCTTTATTTTTATCCCCCTGATAGATTAATTAGAGATGATGATCCAATGTAAGTATCAAGTTTGTTTTCTAAGTCATATACAAAATTAGCATTAGCAATTTCTAATGACTTTTTTATATCTTCTTCATTCGCATCTTTATTACCCAGCAGAATATTGTCTCTTATAGTTCCTAGGATCAAAACAGGTTCCTACTGTACATAGCCGATAGATTCACGCAAGGTTTCCAAAGAGATGTCTTAGAGCTTTACATCACCAAATTTTATAAACCCTTATTAAGGATCATAAAATCTTTCGATAAGTTATATTATCGTGCTCTTTCCAGACCCTGAAGCTCCTACTATAGCAGTTGTAGTATTAGTCTTTATTTCAAAATTAGTATTTTCAAGATGTTTTCCTTTGCATTTGGGTACCTGAATGTAACATTTTAAAATTCAATTTTTTTAAAGTTCTATAATTGAGTAATGCAATTTTCGCCACTTTTGATCTAAGGCTATCTATTAATAATTAAGAATATTTCCTCCCCTGTTTGAATGGCCTTAAAAACAGCAGAAAAATTAGGGATCATTTAAAATGCTGTTGAGGTGCAATTCAAAATAATGAAAAGAATTGAGATTATTTCTGATGAAGAGTAGGATTTTTAAGTACATGGATTATATACACCTTGATCAAGGTAGACAGTTGCCATCCAAAAGTTAAAGCCATAACTTCCATATATTGCCAGCTTCAAAGTGCCAATAAATGCTGCAGTAATGTATTCAGATTTAATGGTAGAAGTTCTTGCAGCTTCAGCTTTTATATTAAAGTCTATAATCTCTCTGTCCTCTTATGCAAAGGAAGATATGACTTTAATGCTTTATAAACTTTCTTCAATTTTTCCACCAACTATATTTGATTTCTCAGTAGAAAAATTGGTAGATTTTTTAACCTACCCTCCAATTATCATGATGAGAACTATTGCAAGAGGAAAAACAGTCAAACAGATCAAGACCATATCAGCTCCTTGATTAATGCAATGATTACAGAAGCTATAATATTAAAGGTAGCAAAGATTATGGTTGAAAACTTTTACCCAATCGATTCTTGAATAACTAAGAATTTTTAGCCTACGGAAGACGGAAGTTGCTCAATTTTAATTTCTTCAAAGAATCCAACCTCTTGACTTAACATTGTTTTCAAGAACCTTAATCTTAGATCAAATGTGATTTTTTCAGCCACTAACTACCATAATGCAAAGTATAAATAGCCGCTGATCCAAATGAAAAAAGCTAACATTGCTAATTTGCGAGTGACATCGATTATAATTTGCCTTCTATCTTCCACTTCATTATATTAATCGAAGGCCTCTGAAATATCTCCTAGATAAACAGCTACGATTGGAATCATAGCCCCAGTACCTATCGCAGAAATAGTCCCAATTATTAGTAGAAATTTATCCATTCTGCTTGTAAATTGGAAAAAGTCTTTGAATTTAAATTGCTTGTTCCTTTTAATGTCTTTTACTTCTAAGTTATTTTCCATGGCTTCTCTAAATTTCTAGTTTAATAATGCTTGCTCTAGAAATCACTCCTTTAAATTATTAATTAAATTTTTCAGTTAATTTTTATTGTCTTGCAAATATTAATTTTTTTTCTATATTTCAAATTACTTAGATTAAATAAAATTGGATTTCTCGTTCATTTAATTGCAATTTCTCATTATTAAATTTTCAGTAAATCAGTTACGTTTGGGGTTTTGGGGTTTTGGGG